TTGTTGTTGTTGTTGTGTTTTTGCTGCTTCGTGTTGCAACTGTTTATTTATAGCCTCCTATGGTTCATCACAGCCACAGACGTGCCTGAATTTGCAGTACTCAGAGCACGTGCTACGCTGATTTCTATCACCGCACCGAACGAACCCAAACGAATTCGCCGACAGATTATTCTAGGCCAGGGGCCCTAATCAGGACAGTTGGCGAAAAAGACGGCGAGAAATCTGGCGGCCGTGATTGGTCAACGCCGCACTTGACCTTGGCGCCGGCCAATCATAGCCAACGGATGTCTCGCCGACTTTCTCACCAAGTGTCCAGATCAGGGCCCCAGGGGTCGGCAAACCCGCGGCTTGCGGGGGAGTTTCATGCGGCCCCCGCCACGACACCAGACAGGCCCCCTCCCCCTCTCTCGCCGCTTTCTCACACAGACGCAAGAACCACACGGCAGTTTTAGCCTCAATATAGTAAGACAGGAACAATGAGCACTTCAAATTAGCACTGCCCGGGATCCCCGTATTTGGGCCAGAGAACGTCTTTACTTCCACTTTGCCTTTTGTCAAAACAATACCCTCAGTGTCTGCACCGTAACGACTCGGCCTGCCGCTGCAAAAGTTTGCCGACCGCTGTTGTAGACCATCTCCACATCACTATAACTTCTCAATCTTCCTCTAACCCCAATGCATATTTGCTCGACAGGGCGAACATCTAAGCTAACCTGCCTCTCTTTCACCTGTCATCACCACCAATCAATAGAGTACACATCCCATTCATAGCTTGATTTCTCGTAGCCGGTCCGAGAATACGTGATCAAAATCTTTGCTTCATCACGCACACATTGAATTGATGTGATTTTTTAGCGAGCGTTAGATAACCGACGACTCATTATCGTGTCCAATTACTTTACCACAGTCCGTAAGCCTCGTCAGACAAAAATCAAACTTTTTCAAACGAAATACAAAAAGCAAGACCGCTCACAAAAAAGACTGTCTGCTCTTATCTGAATAAACAAACAAAAAAGTCCAATATTTCTTACGCAATAGTTCCCTGTGCTTCACTCCTTGGTAGGCAGAACGTGAAGTTGCAACCCAATATATTTTCATGGCGCCCTTAAATAATATTAGTATAAAAACGCGCGGATATATCGCCCTATTTAGACTCAACGCGAAACTTGCGCGTGCTCCGTGGCTGGATGCTTCCGCAATCAGAAGACTCAACGCGAAACTTGCGCGTGCTCCGTGGCTGGATGCTTCCGCAATCAGATCGAAGGTTACAGGAGTTTCTCAAGCTGGTGCAACTAGCCACGGAACAGATTGTACGGCGCAGTTGATACCGAATTCTGTCGCTGCATCATTTCGTCAGTGTGCAGGGCTTTTGCGGAATTGCGACGCTTCCCCCGCCTTGGCGTCAATGGGTTGAAAACCGCAGTCAACTGCCACTCGCAGCCTTGGGACCATTTTTTTTTCTATTTTGGACTTAGGACCGCTCGTTCCGGGACCATTTGTTTTGGGCCACTTGTTCCGAGATCATTTTTTCCGGGACTACATCTTATGGAATCATTTGTTCCGGGACCATTGTTCTGTTTCCCGACAGACACGTTATACAGGAAAGAAACACACATCAGGCAGTGTCTGCAAACTGCCTTTTGTACGATGTGCTAGTAGCGTGACCGCCACTTAAAGGCACCTGGATAGATCACTGGCTGAGGTGCGCGCCCGGGACGTGGTCACAATCCCCGCCACGGAGTCAATCAAGCAGAGTTAAAAGTCCATCCTCACGGCGCTCAATGTCGTCGTGCGTCTCCTCTCACCGACTAAACAAATTAGAATTCAAGCATGTTTGGTTAAATACAAAAAAAAGACATGTCAATGTATCGAGATCCTGCGCTTTTTGCTGTCCGTGATTGGTTCAGCCAGTGACGGCAAACCCACAAAGGCTGCCCGTGATTGGTTCCATCGGGTCGTAGTGTCGGCTGTGGTCGGACTTAAAGTCAAACGGAGTATTAGCATGCATGCGCAACCAAAAGCGTCGCTGTGGTCGAGGTTCCCGATTGGCCAAACCGTACAGCAATTCCTGCATCCTGATAATACCCGTCCAATCGCCGGTGCATAGAGAGGAAAATCCTGCCAATCACGGCGAGGCAGAGGCAAATCCTGCCAATCACTGTGACGCGAAAACTGATTCTGACATCACAAACGGAAGTCGTGAGAGGGCGCGCCACCGAAACATCTCGGAGCGCTCCCCGAGAGGACCCGTGAGGCTCATATTGGACCTTCTTCTCATAAAGACAACACCAAGTGGCTCAAACTCGAACTAAAGTTGGTGTATGGGATGAGAGGTGCGATACCTTTCCCGCCTTCTCTGCGGTTGATCCGAGTCGCCCAAGAGGCAGGAGAGGTAGTGTAACCATTCTTTTGGACGCCAACCGAAGCTTGAGCTTTCGCCACTGCGAGAGAAAGGCCCGCGCATGCGCAGAACCCTTCTTGAAAAAAGGTGCATTCTCTACTTGTAAGTCAGTTTGTTCGGTACGGAACCAGAGGCATAGCAACTTGAAAGCATCACTGGGTGTCTGTGTGACTGCGTTTCCACGGGTCATGGCGCATTTTGAGAGATCTGCAGCAAGAATACAATACTTCCCTCAAGTACGTCAGAAAGAAGAGGAAATTAAGTTAGTTAACTATGCTACTCGCTTCTTTCGAGAGAAATGTTTTAAATAAAACAATTACTTGCCAAATGGACCCCACTGAGCTGGTGGGACTTGATGGTTTCCAATTTACCACGGTCGTTCAAGCTTACAGAAAAAGCCTTTTCCTGAAATTGCTCCATGAAGTGCTAGGTCTCAGGCTTAGAAGCAATACGGAACCGGAAATTGCTCCACAAAGAGCTTTTCTTTAAGCTTTGAAGCAATAAGCAACCCATTGCTCTGTAACGACATGGATAACGAACGAGGCGATGGTAAAAACGAGTGTTTTGTCAGTGTTATACTAATAGACAGTGTTGACGAAACCACAACGCTACTGTTTTATCGATTGCCAACATTTATGAGCATCGCAGATTCTTTCACGTAGGGTATTCTATGTTATAAATAGGATTTTGTGTTTTCGGAGGTTTTTTCTAGCGATACTCTTACCGTGTTTTAGTTATTTTTTTTGCTGATATTCCGAAGTTGATTGAATTTATTTGTAATTTCAAATTAAGAAGTTTTATATTGCTGTGCGCCCAATGTTTCGAAATTCACTGTAAAAACAAACATCTTTTTCAAACTTAAACCTGCCATATGTTCGTAAGAACATAGGGCAGGTTGAGCCCTACACTCTAAGAAAAAATGGAGGAAAAAAGTAGCAACGGCGCGTCTTCCTCCCTTCTACTGACGCGCCCCCAACCGGACGCGAGAAAAGGGGAGGAACGAAACGTTTTTCTCCTTCTCCAGGCAGACGGGAGAAAGCTTTCGGCCTTCGACTCATCTTCTTTCGGTTTCGTTTTTCGAGCAGGTCGCGCACGTTGTTTAATAAATAGCTGTTGAGTTCATTGAGCTTCAGCGGCAGTAAAGGCCGCCTGTAATTCCGTTTTCTAGTCTAAACGTGCAGAACATTTCGGTTGCATTGACGCTTTTATCCCTAATTTTATCAAACGAGCAAACGAAGCCGCTGGAAACAGCGAAGTTGCGGAGCAGTGCCAGCAGTGCCACGTACACTGGGGGATGGCCGTCTCCGGATTGCGGGACTCGCGCGCGCGGCGTACCGATGGAACTACAGTCGCTACAGTAGCGAAACCACGCGGAACTGTGTCGACGTTTTCGACGTTATGGAAACCGCAAGAACTCCGTCCAAGACAGGCAGGTTTTGCTGCCGGCTGCCTGGGTGCCTTCCGCGCTGAGCTCGGTTCTGTTTTCCGATGCCGAGTGCAACCGGCGTTCAACGTGGTTCTGTATTTGTGCGTGTCAGCAACATAGCTGCAACATCATGATGGCAGTGTTGTGGGTTGTGAACAGAAGACTGGAATTATCGCCGATGTGACCGTGTGTTCGCGTATCAGTGGTGTAACAACAATATGAGATCGTAAACTGTCGGGCATTGATGCAATTGGGCGGGCCGTGATGAGGGGGCGGGGTGTCGCAGGTTGACATTCCGCTTTACATTAAAAAGTTTAATATCACTTGAGGGATTACGTGCAATCGATCAACGTGCGGATAGTCATGTTGGAACGCTGGTCTGAACAGTAGAAGCTCCTATCGCTATCGTACAATGGCCAATATGACTGTCGGAATTGTCTCGTCCCCGAGAGCGATTGCGCTCTGGGGCAAGGACTGAACAGTACGAAATCGTGACGGAAAGTACGTATATTTACAGTATGGAATTCCGGCATTAAAAAACAATAGAAGGTAAAATCGAAAAAAAAAAAGCTGCCCTTTATTTTGCTGTTTAAATATACTACGGTTCCTGGAGAAACTGCCTTCCAAGTGGCGCGCTGGGATGAGCGCTAGACGTTTTTGGGCTCGCCACGGCGTAGCTCCGTACACTGAACACCTGCCGCAAGTCGCGGCTTTGACTGCATTCAAGTTGATCGAAAAGCGATTTCTCAGCATGTGAAGCATTACTTCCAGCTGAGTGAATATCCGCTCTACAGAGATTAAATCAAGACGGCAATTGCAGCTTTGCGCGAACAGCACAAATAGAAAAACCAATAGAAATACAGGCTACGACGTGCCGTGTGGGGAAACAAACTCATGGCTTCGAACCGCATTAGGGCGGCTCGATTTATAGGCTTTCAAATAATTACGGCTTGATCGAGCGTTTACTTTTAATAAGAGATTCATCCCTTGAGCCATTTAAAATACTTTCAGAGGTATGACATTGCTGGGAAAAAATCAACATGCTGGGAATATTTTTTATTGCTTATTCAGTCACCGAAAAGTTCCGTACGTTCAAAACGACCAGTATAAAAGACGGAAACGCAGAGCACGGGTGTAGTGTTCGGGTTAGTGTGGTGTTCCAACGGCCGGTTTCGGCCGCGGTTTTTCTGCTTATGACGTTCCCCAAGACTACAAGATTCTTCTGCCACCCCTGACTTCAGGTACCGCTTCTTTGAACTCTGTTTTTCTTCACTGTGACGTGTCTGAGCGGCCATATCGACTCGACGATTTTCGTAACGAGATAGCGCGGCTCGCCGTGCTCAAGGACATTGCAGCGTTCGGCGCGTTTCACATGAATCATGTGTGGATGCTTACGTTTCACTCTTCAGCTGCAAAACAGAAGCTCGTGAAGGAAAAACAACTTAAAATTAAGGGGAAACTTTGCCTCGTCATCGATCCGGACACCAGCGACGTGAGCCTCAAGCTTCACTGGGTGCCGTTTCACGTGCCTGATGAATCCGTCCGGAGGGCTCTCGAACCCTACGGGAAAGTGCTAGAAGTTGCGCGAGACAAAGTGCGCTCAGGTTTTTTTGCGGGGATAGAGACGAAGACAAGGCTCGTTCGCATGACGTTGAAAGATGGTGTGACCAGGGAGAGCCTCCCGCATCAGTTGAAAATGCCCGGAGCGAGCGCGCTGGTTCTGGTGCCGGGTCGAGCGCCGTTGTGCCTCAGATGCAAGAAGACTGGGCACATTCGCAAGGATTGCCGAGCTCCCCGCTGCCTGGAGTGTAATCGCTACGGGCACGAAGCCTCCGACTGTGTGCGCACGTATGCGTCAGTCACTAACGCGGAGGTACCGGAAGAAGTTAGCGACCACATCATGGAAGCGGATGAAGCAGAGGCAACCTATGGCACCGACATTGCTAGCACTTCAGCTGACCCACTGCCACTGACAGCGACTGACACAGCAGAGCAATCACCAGTAGAAGCAGCCCAGGGAAGGCAAGACGGCACGGACACCGAGGGCCCAGTCTCAGGAGTGCTCACACCAGGCAACCCCAGCAGCAAGGAACACTCCTCGGGAAATTTGGAGTTCAACGAAGAAACAACTGCACCAGAAAGCACGGCCACCTCAGTGCAAGAAGTCGACACTGCCAGCGCTGTGGAACAATCCCAAGCAGACGCAAGGGACGGCCTCCCCGGACCAGAGCTCTGTGATTGGTCTGCCTGCAGTCAAATCCCCGACAAACCACCACGCTGTGAGTTGAAGTGGAAAGACACCGCTTTGCGAAAGAGCAGATTCGACCCAAAGCCCAGAAACACCCCGGACGACCGCACGCGAGGTCACTCGAAACAGTAAGCCTTTCTCCTTTATTCTTTCACCTCGCCGTAGATTTAAATGCGAGGGCCGCTCAAAGTAGCCACATTCAATTGTGTCAGCTTGATAGCACGGAAACGCAAACAGTGGCTCCTAAACCTACTATTGAAGGAACGGGTTGACATAGCGTTTTTACAAGAGACTAAGCTATCAGGCGAAAAGCACAATGAAGATATGCTATCTTTTTTTGAGCGACACTTTCTTTTTGTTTATTCGAAAGCCGTCGGATACAGTGCTGGCACAGCGTTCCTTCTTCGAAAAGATAAGGGTTTCCAAATCGCTCCGGAATGGGAAACCGACCAAAGCGGCCGTATTTGCTCCATCGATGTTATACATGACGATGCGCTTGTAAAACTAGTGGCAGTGCACGCGCCAAATGAAGCTGCGGACCGCAAGGACTTTTTCAAGAACTTGCGGCAATATTTAGATACGCCATGCCCCACCATTCTGGCAGGCGACTTTAACTGTGTGCTGAGTGGTAAAGACTCTTCAAATGGCCTTCTGTCGGACTCCAGCCGTGTGGAGCTGCGTAAGCTGCTGCGTGATTACGATTTGCACGACGCAACAGAGTCCATTTCGGCAGCTGTGCCGGGCTTCACACATTGGCAGGCGAGCTCGCACGCAAGGATCGACCGGGTCTACGTGTCCAGCGAACTGGAAGCCTCATTAGACGGTTATGAAGCGCTGCCCGTTGCCTTCTCCGATCACGCGCTCGTAATCGTGCGTCTGGGAAAACACACCGAATCACGGCGGTATAGGTCCGACTGGAAAAACTGGAAAATGAACGACAGCTTGACAGAGGATGAGGAGCTGAACAATAAAATTAAGGATCTCATTACGCAAGCAGCTGGATTACAACATGTGGACGCTGCTAGTTGGGAACAGATGAAAATAAGCCTAAAAATGGAGATTATACAACACAGCCAAATGAAGGCGCGTGAACGAAAAAAAGATCGAAGCTCACTTACAAGATGCCTTAAGCGTTTAATTGAAGAAGAAAACGTGTCCCCTGGACTCTTTACGGAAGACATCCGTAACTGCAAAGAGCGCCTGCTGGCCATCATGGAAAAGGACTATGAGGGAGCAATGATTCGGTCGAGAGTTCTCTCCGTGGAGAAAGATGAAGTGCCTGGAAAGATTTTTAAAACGAAAGAACGGCAGCGTGCTCAATTTAATAAGATCTCGCAGCTTCAAGTAGGCCCGGAGACTGTCTCGGAGCAGGCCGCCATAGAACAAGCGCTCCACATGGCTTTTGAAAAGCTGCTGGGAGTAGACAGTTTTCAAGATGGTGAACTTTTGCAAAGCTTCTTGGAACAGATGCCTTCCATCCCGGCGGACGTTAGGGAAGCCATAAATGAAGACATCACCGAAGCAGAGGTTGCCAGCACGATAAAAGAGCTGTCTCCTCGGAAATCTCCTGGCGTGGATGGCCTTGGAGCGGCGTTCTACAAGAAGTTTGCAGATCTATTGGTCCCTCTTCTCTGCAGGGTTTTCTCCGACATCCTTGCACGAGATCTTCTCCCTCCATCCATGCGGCAGGCGATGGTAGTCCTCATTCCCAAGAAGCGCTCTCCTCACAGCTGTCCGAGCGTTGAAGACTTCCGGCCAATAAGCATCCTCACGACGGACTATAAAATTCTAGCAAAGATCTTAGCGAAGAGGCTTGACCGGGGCATTCGTTGCGTGGTTGGGGACCATCAAGCTTATGGCATTCGTGGTAGAAGCATCCAGGACAATCTGCACATGATGAGAGTCATGTGCGAAGACGCATTAGTGGAGGGCAGCCCCCTGGCCGCGCTCCAAGTGGATCTCAGCAAGGCCTTTGATCGTGTCTCTCACTGGGTCCTCTTCCGGCTGCTGGACCATTGTGGCATAGGCGAGACGCTCGGCAGATACGTCAGGATCTGTTACAAGGATATATCGACCAACATCAAGGTCAATGGAGGCCTCACCAAACCTATCCCCGTCCGCTCATCGGTTCGTCAGGGCTGCCCTATGTCGCCGGTGTTGTTCTCACTCTATCTTGAACCCCTGTGCCGGCGCATCATCAATGACAGTGCCATCAGAGGATTCAACTGGGCGCCAAGTCTACTAAAGGTACTTGCATACGCAGACGACTTAACTCTGTTGTGCTCCTCACGCAGTGAGGTGGAACTAGCGCTGAAGCACGTTTCGGACTTCTGCAGTGTGTCCGGTGCTCGACTGAACGAAAAGAAATCGACCGGTGCGTGGTTGGGAGCCTGGGACGCTCGCCCTGAGAGCTTTCTGGGCATCTCATGGAGTTGCGCAGTGACAAACTATTTAGGCATAAGCTTGGCCCCCGAGTGCCTCAGGACTGGGGACTCGGGTATCCATATGAAAAGTTTGCATGCCAAAGCACAGGACTGGTATGGGAGATATTTGTCCTTCTTTAACCGTAGTAGGGTCTGCAATTCGGTATTTTTTCCTACTGTGTGGTACGCGGCACAAGCGATGCCTTGTAAGCTTATTGATGTTCAGAAAGTGAACCGGTTCTGCGCTGTGTATATATGGGACTCTAAGTTCGAGCGCATGCGGCGCAGCAATTTGTTCCTTTGCCGGGAGAAAGGTGGTCTCGGTCTAGTGAATGTTGAACTGAAGCTCCAAGTGCAGAGATTTATCTTTTTTCGCAGCCAACGTAACGAGCATTTGCGGAAAGCCATTCAAAAGCATGGCGGAAAATGCACAGCTCAGTGGATGCCGGTACCTAATGAATGGTCCGAGGGAGTTTGCACGCTCAAATTCTACAAAGAAATTGGGCGCGCATTGAAAACCTTTCACGCGATGTTTTCGAACGAATACCTTGCAAAGGTGAAATATCGCAGATTGTACTGGGATGCCCTGGAGCTGCTAACCCCCGTGCCCATATACCGTGCGAACCTTCGCGACACATCGTCCAGTGTTTTTAAAAGGCTTTCGTTCTACCCCGTTAAGACCGGCACAAAGGACTTTTTCTTTAAGTTTCATACCGAGGTTTTACCCGTCAAAAACTGGCTGGCCAAGAAGGGCTTCTTTGTGCCATGGTCAACGAATTGTGCGCTATGCCCCTACGAGGAAGACATGAGACATGTGTTCTTTGATTGCACCAATGCTCAATTGTTCTGGGCCCAGCTTAGACAAACGCTTCAGGTGCAGCTCTACCCAGAATGGGAAAGTTGTAAATTTTTGGAGTTTGGCAACGGCACAAACAGAAGCTGTCTCGAGACGCTAGCCCTTCTGGGTCTCCATGCTATCTGGCGCTCAAGGACAGATCACCTCCTGGTTGCAGTAGGTGGAAAACCTGCTTGGCGCCATTTTGTTAATGACTTCCAGTATGTTTCTTCAGTCCTCAGTGCGAGGGAGTGGACAGGTAATGACGACTGGAAGGCGTTCCAAAAGCGTTTGTCTTGGCCGAGTTTCTGAGACTTTTTATGGTGCCCACCGGGGTCGCTTCTGTATGTGGATCGATGTAACCGGTTCGTGGTCCCGATACTCTCCGAGGACAGATTGAGTGTCAAGTGTGCTCTGCCTCTGCCACATGAGTGGTGGTTTTTAACATGTACATAGTATCACAAAGTTTTAAATAAAAAAAAAAAAAAAAAAAAATAGTGTGGTGTTCCGTTGTATTAATATTTGTGTATGTGCTCAATGTATGTTCACCTAATGCTTGTAATAAGCGTAATGTGTGTGTATAGTAGAGGATCCCCAAGCGCAGGCAAGCGACTCTGAAGCGCGGTAGTGGCCTGAAACAAATTAATTATTTTTTGTAGAACATGAATTGGGCGGTACCAAGCGCCACCTAGCCTAGCTGCTTGCAATTACTCTGCTTGACCCCGCCATCTGGTGGCTAGCGTTTTAACCTTTCACGCTACGCGATAAACAGCGGCTTCGAGTTTGTTCTTTCGAGAGCGGCTTTTGGTTTCGCTGATTGAGTTTGCCCTTCTCTGTGATGTGCGGTTGACGAAGGAATTGTGACTCGAGGAACACCAAAGGTAAGACTCAAAGTGCGCGAAGTAACTTGGTATCGGTTGTCTCCGTTTAACATCGCAGTGCTGTCGACGAGAAGACTGAGTAACTGCTTTCGAAACGCAAGTTTCTGTACCTGTGGGGGGAATCTGGCTTCGGAAATAAACACAGTTTGCGGAAAGCTCGTGTGACGCTTTTATTTGCTGCTGCTCTCGTCCCGTACAAGAGACGTAGCGTCCTGGTTAAGCCTTATTGGGCTTGATTTGCTCGATTCGGGGCCGCCATATTGAGAGGCAAGCGACAGAGGAACGTTGCTCCCCTGCTTCAGGGACGAACGTTTCTCCCTTTCTAAAGGAACATAGGTTACAAGACCGTTCCTCCCCTAAGGGAGGACTATGCATACCCTTTTTTCTAAGAGTGTATTATAATTCTTCAGCTAGTTTGGACATTCCGCCCATTTTAATGGTAATACTATAGTCTGTTGCAACTCAAGAACGAAGGGCGAGGGTAAGACGGGCCGGAGAGGAGGAAGCAGACGGAACGCTGTAGAAGAGAGGGGGAAACCTCCTTCTCTCTTTGGCGCTCCGTCTGCTTCCTCCTCACCAGCTTTTCCTTCCCTCGCCCTTCGTTCTTAGGTTGCAACGGACTATAGTTGTCTCACAAGAAAGCTTATAAACAAGTGTTCTAATAAACGTCGATACTTTGAAACCACTGAAACCCTCGATACAGTCTCTGTAAAGCCAGCTTCTTCTTTTACCGCTCCACCCTGCGTCTGCGCCGGATGGAGCGGTGAGATAGAAGTTAGAACCTTTTGGCTACCCCTCTCCCTCCTATAATCATAGCTTTCATTGTTATAAAAACCACAACCACCCCCCCCCCCCTCACTTCTTCTAAGATGTCCAAACTGAAAACTAGAACACTGTCTTTTGTCGTGACCCAAAATTGTAATGAACCGTTTTCCCGAACAAAACTGGGAGAGAAAGGGTGAACCACTAATTAATTAATTAATTTAGTTATTT